TTTTAGTAATTTTTGGTTATTTCGGTTCGGTTTGTATAATTAGAGTGTTTTGATAACGGGTTTTTTTTTTTAAATTTCATTGCATTAGTTAAATATTTTTTGGTTTTTTAGTTTTTCAAAATAAAATAAAAGACCTAACCAACTAGCCCATAATGGTCTGGTTAGATACTCAAATCTATTATTCTAATAGGCCTTAACCACTAGTCACCCCGACCCAAACCAAAAACTCGGCCATACCGAATTCTAAGTTCCCAAACCCTAATCGAATATAACACAGGTCCGTCGCTTCAGAGGATGGCAGACACCGATGCAGGATATTCCGGCGACTCAAAAAACCATCATCGGAGCATGATAAACAAGTCCACATGCACGTAAAAGACCGAACTAAACCAACCTTCATTCGTGGCAAGGGAGGACAAGATCTAGCCATACTCGCCAAAAATCATGCGGCAAATACTTGCCGAGATCCCGAGGGAGATTAGAAGAGAGCAAACGCCCAGATCCGAGCCTGCTCCATCGATTGAACGGGAGGAAGACAAACCATAAATCCAAATCCGCAGAGCGAAGAGAGCCGAGGAAGATGCGAATCTTCATAACACAAGACAAAAACAAGCAGGCGAAAAACCTAAGCAGGTCGGAACCAGATGAGAAGATGAAGCTTTACCTACTTCACAGGAAAATATATCGTCAGCAGGAGGAGAAAAGATCTCAGGGAAGAAAATTCACCGGGGAAACTCTTATAATTGGAATTACTCATGTCTCCAAGAAGAAAACCTCCTAGGGGAGACATCTGGCGGATCTCTGACCAAAGGCCACCTGCCGTCGAACCACACCAGCAACATCGAGCCACCGCAACTCGGCCAAGCCAGATTGAGCCACCGCAAGCACCATCAGAAGAGGACACTAAGAGATCTCAGAGGGAGAGCATCACTCACTAGATCTCATCACAGATCCGACAACAGAGCAAACCGCTATACTGGAGTTTGTAATCGCCTAGATCCGCCGCCGAGAGATAAGAAAGTCAAATCATGACAGAGAACCGCCGGATGCCGGAGAAGGCAAGGAGAGAAGCAAAAAGAGGAAGTTGTTTAGCGGCTATGGTTTTTTAGAGAGAAGGGAGAGAAAGGAGAAGTTTTCTCTCTTTATTCTCTCTCGTTTTTTAGATCAAATGTTTTGGTAATTTAGTATATAAATTTTTGTATCTATTGGGGTTATTATCTATTTTGGTCGGATTCGAATTGGTGAATTCTGATTCAGTTCATTTCGGTTTATACATTTTTCTACCCATACGTGAACATATTTGTATACAAAATAGTATATTTTAAGTTTCGTTTGTATATACAATCTTTTTTTCTTTAAAAGGTATTAGGTAAAGGACCCGCATATATGCGGGTTTTTGATACTATA